CTAGATTTTATCCTTACCCCCATATTAAAGATGGGGAAACGAAGCCTCAGAGTAGAGGCATGATTTACTTACCTAACATCACACAGCTTGCCAGCAGCAGATTCAAGTGTTCAAGATTTAAAAACTTGTGGTCTGGTCTAGAACCCACCCTTTTGAACACTGTGCTATCATGTATTGTCTTTCGAACTTGAGCATGCATTAGAATTACGTGGAGGGCTGTGGAAACACAGATTACCGAGGCCCATTCCCAAAGTTTCTGATTCAGTGGATCAAGAATTTGCATTGCTGACAAGTTCCCATGTTACCCCAATGCTGGTGCTTTCCAGTGGGGAGCACACTTTAAAAACCTCTGTTGTGGGGCACCTGGGTGGCTCAGTCGGTTGAGCTGAGCATCCGACTTCAGCTCAGGTCATGATCTCCCTCATGGGATCGAGCCCCGCATCGAGGCTGTCAGCACAGAGCCTGGAGCCTGATTCGGATTCTGTGTCTTCCTCTGTCTCTGCCCCTCCCCTGCTCACGTTCTGTCTCTCTCTCTCAAAATAAGCAAACCTTAAAAAAAAAATTTTTTTTAAAAAGAACCTCTGTTGTAATTCATAACTGTTTTCATAACTTTCCAGTGGAGACAGAAGGGTCTTGACTGTGAAATTCTATGAGGGATCTAAGAGTTAAGATCATGAATGCTTTATAATAATAGGCAATAATAGCCAGCATCCATCGATGCATATGATGTGCTAGACCCTGGACTCTAACACTGTTCATGCATTTTCTCATCTAACCTTCACGCCAGTCTTGGGGAATACTTTTATTTTTTCCAGTTTACAGTGAAGAAATGTGGATTTGGAGAGATTAGGGAACTTGATCAAATTTACGTACCAGCAAGTTAGCAGTTGTGAGGTTCAAGTCAAACTGCTCAACTCCAGAGCCCAGTTGACTATGCCACTACAGGCTTCACATGCAGTAGTTGCTCTGTCTCTGTGGGTTCACCTCTTCTGGACATTTCATACAAATGGAGCCATACAATAGGAGGTCTTTTGTGCCTGGCTTGACTTGGTGTAACTTTCCAGTAATGAGTTATGACATGTGTGAAATGTTGTCTGTGAGAGAAGCTCATTAGAGACCGTGCCAAAAGTTTTTAAGGGGGCTCAACATGCGGGTACCTTCTGCCTAGCACACACCAAACTTCCATACCCCCCAGGAAGAAGCCGGTAAACTATGCTGTTTGCATGAACAATTAAGGCACATTGAACTATTCTTTCCAGATGGAGTGACAGGAACCTTCCACAAACGCAAGTTCCCAGATCCTAACCAAGGCCAACCTTGAAAGAAGGATTTCCCAATGAGAGCCTTCTCGGGCCTGCTATAGTCACTGTTTTCTGCACAGATTTCCATAGGGACTGTGTTGATTCTGGAGATTAATTGGAAATGTAAGATGGAGAATATTGCCATCTCAACCATCTTGTTAGAATTTATAACACGTGATGTCTTTCCATTTATTTACATCTTAATTCCTTTGAATGCCATTTTGTAGTTTTCAGCGTGCAAGTCTTCTTCATTTGTTAAATTTATTTCTTTTTTTTTTTTAAATATTTTTATTTATTTCTAAGAGAGAGAGAGAGAGAGACAGCGTGAGCAGGGGAGGGTCAGAGAGAGAGGGAGTCACAGACTGAAACAGGCTCCAGGCTCCGAGCCGGCAGTCAGCACAGAGCCCGACACGGGGCTCGAACCCACGAACCGCGAGATCATGACCTAAGCGAAAGTCGGACGCTTAACCGACTAAGCCACCCAGGCGCCCCTTGTTAAATTTATTTCTAAGTATTTTATTCTTTTTGATGCCATTGTTAAGTGGAATTGTTTTCTTAATTTCATTTTCAGATTATTCCTTGCAAGCGTATAGAAATGCAATTGGTTTTTGTATATTGATCGTGTATCCTGGAATCTTGAGCTGTTTATTAGCTCTAATAGAAGTTGTGTGTGTGTGTGTGTGTGTATATGTGTGTGTGTAATCTTTAGCCTGTCACTACGGTGGATTGCACAGATTATTTTTTCTGAACCAGCCTTGCATCCCTGGAACAAACCCTACTTGGTCATGGCATATAATAATTTTTATGTAATACTAACTTCTGTTTGCTAATATCTTGCTAAAGATTTTGCATCTATTTTTCTAGAGCACCTGGATGGCTCAGTTTCACTTCTGACTTCGGCTCAGGTCATGATCTCACAGTTTGTGAGTTCAAGCCCCACATCAGGCTCTGTACTGACAGCTCAGAGCCTGGAGCCTGCTTCAGATTCTGTGTCTCCCTCTCTCTCTGCCCCTCCCCTGCTCACACTCTGTCTCTCTCCCTCCCTCCCCACCCCCTCTCTCAAAGATAAATAAACATTAAAATTTTTTTTTTTTTTAAGATTTTGTACCTATTTTTAGTTTACCTATTTTTTATCTAGGTTGTTTGTTTTTAAGTAGGCTCCAGAGGTGCCTGGGTGGCCAACTCTTGGTTTCAGCTCAGGTCGTGATCTCACAGTTCTGTTCATGAGATCCAGTCCCACATTGGGCTCCACACTGACAGCATGGAGCCTGCTTGGGATTCTCTTTCCTTGCTCTCTGCCCTTCCCCCACTCATGCTCATGTGCTCTCTCTCTCTCTCAAAGTAAATTAAATGAACTAAAAACAAAAAAAAAGTAAGCTCTATAACCTGAGCCTAAATCAAGAGTAGGACACTTAACCAACTGAGCCACCCAAGTGCTCCTAGGTTTTTTTTCATTACTGCATTGTAGGAGTTCTTTATATAATCTGGATAATAACCTCTAATAACCCCGTATCAGATTTGACTTGCAAATATATTTACTCATTCTGTAGGCTGCTTTTTCACTTAATTGTGGTCTTGGATGCACAAGTCTTATTTTCTTATTTTTATAAATACTTTAGGACACACAAGGTTTTTTTGTTTAATCTTGGGTTTTTAATTTTTTTAATGTTTTTATTTTAGTTTTGAGAGAGAGAGAGAGAGAGAAAGGCAGAGTGTGAGCAGTTCAGGGGCAGAGAGAGAGGGAAACACAGAATCCGAAGCAGGCTTCAGGCTCTGAGCTGTCAGCACAGAGCCTGTCGAGGGGCTCGAACTCGAGAGCCATGAGATCATGATCTAAGCCGAAGTCGGCTGCTTAACCAACTGAGCCACCCAGGTGCCCCTGTTCTTTTTTTTTTTTTTTTAATTTTGAGAAAGAATGTGAGTGGGGGAGGGACAGAGAGAGAGAGAGAGCTGGAGAGAGAGGATTATAATTGGGCTCCATGTGGAGCTCGAACTCATGAACTCTAAGATTGTGACCTGAGCCGAAGTCAGATGCTCAACCTACTGAGCCACCCAGGTGCCCTGGATGCACAAGTTTTGAGTGTTGATGTAGTCCTGTTTATGTATTCGTTCTTTCGTTGCCTGTGCTTTTGAAGAAATCATTGCTAAATCCAGTGACATGAAGCTTTTCCTCTATGTTTTCTTCTAAGAGTTTTATAGTTTTATGCTTTTTATTTATTTTGAGTTAATGTTTATATATCGTGTAAGGCAAGGGTCCATCTTCATACTTTTGCATGTAGCTATCCAATTTTTCCAACAACATTTGTTGAGAAGACTGTCCTTTCCCCCTCAAGAATGGTCTTGGCACCCTTATTGAAAATTATTGGACCATATTTGCAGGAGTTTATTTCTGGGCACTCTATTTTATTCCTTCATTCCTCTTTATGGTGGAATAATATTCCATTGTTTGGATATACCATATTTTATTTATGGCAAGTCCAACGTTTTATCTCCTTATTTAATCACTGGACGTTGTCACCTCTGTGATTTATGGATTACTGAGTCCTTGCCCAGGAGCCTGGCTCCAGTCTTTAGAACATTGTCCCCTGAAAATAGTGTCTATTCTGTTTGCTTTGCTTTTTGCTTGTTTTACCCGTGGCCATTCACCATTGTGATGCTAGAACCTCAGTGTGGAGAAAATCAGGTACAACTACCCCCAAGAAAGCTAGCAATATATTCCTGGGAAAGCCAAGCAGCATTGCGGAGTTTTCTGCCTATGACTCTTACAGATTTCTAATCAAACCTCAACACTCGTTTTGTAATCCACACTGCTAATATTCTTACTAAGGCCCAGTCTGTAGAATGCTTTCTACTTTTCCTAGCACAGTGATTGTGGTCTTATTACCTCTAAGACCCCAGCCCGCGTGCCAGTGTCTCCCACACAAGTTTGCTGTTTGTTGCACAGAATGACGAACAGCCGCTAACGCTTTCTGCGTGCCTCCGACGTGCTTCTGTCATGCAGTATCTCACGACCTCACCGCGTACGTTCCTGCGGCCACCTCACCACTAAGTGCTCTGACTGCGCGAGCAGGAAGCTGAGGGTTAAGTAATCGCCACTCGGCGACCCTGCCGAAGGGGAGGAGCCCGGAATCGGCCAAGGGCACAGCGCAGGGAGTCTCCCTTCCGCGGAGAGTCGGATGCCACACGCGGGTCTTGGCGACATCCGGCCCCGGAGCTGCGCGCCCCCCGGGGCTCCCGACTCCCGCGCGAGCCGCCCGCCGCAGTCCTCCGTTGTGCGACGGGCTTCCGAAGAGTACCCCCACCCCCACAGAGAGCCGGATCTTCCCCCACGTACGATGCAAATTCTATGGCTGGAAAGCGTGAGCACAGAAGAAAAAGTGCTGGGCTTTTCACCTCCCTTTAACCGGCGGTGGAAACTCCGCCGCGTCTCCATGGAAACCCGGCAGCGGCGGCGGCCGGCCCCGGGGGTGGGGCTCAGGCGGCGGCCCCTCCCCCTTCCCGGTTTGCACCCCCTCCCCCCCCCCAGCCAGGAGCGATCGCGGTCACCCCTCGACCTCTGCGTTCCTCTTCTCGCCTGCCCTCCCCTTCTGTTGTCTTTTCTGGCCCCAAACCACATCCTGGGGGCCGGCCTCCTGCACGGTCCTCGGCGGGGCGCGTGCCCCCGGCGTCCCGGCCCCGAGCCGCGGCGCCCCGCCTCTGTGCCGCCCCCCCCCCCCCGGCCGCGCTCATTGGCCGCTCCTGGGCCACCCCCGGGCCCGGGGCGGGCAGGGTCTCCGCCTGCGGGAAGTTTTCTGCGCCGGGAGGAAGTTAGACTTGAGGGGGTTGTGAGAAAGCGGCTCCTGTGGCTGCCGGGCTCTGGGCGGCCATGGAGGAGCCCCCTTTGCGAGAAGAGGAGGAGGAGGAGGAAGAAGAGGAGGAAGGAGACGAGGCTGGGCCCGAGGGGGCTTTGGGCAAGAGCCCCTTCCAGCTGACCGCCGAGGACGTGTATGACATCTCCTACGTGATGGGCCGCGAGCTGATGGCCCTGGGCAGCGACCCCCGGGTGACACAGCTGCAGTTCAAGATCGTCCGCGTCCTGGAGATGCTGGAGACGCTGGTGAATGAGGGCAACCTGACGGTGGAGGAGCTGAGAATGGAGAGGGACAGCCTCAAGAAGGAGGTGGAGGGGCTGCGGACCGAGGGCCCGGCGGCCGGCGGGGAGGTGAGTACCCACGGGCCTGCAGCCCCTGGACACAACCACAGCGCCTAGCCAATCCGCAGATAGAAGCATTCGGAGAGGTACATTTATTGAGCACTTACTAGGTGCTGGGCCCTGGGCCGAGTGTTGTTCTGAATCTGGGCCTTCCAGCATTTTTGACGTGACCTAGAGCAGAGGCTCTCCAGCTTTAGCGTGAGCGGAATCTGGGGTGTTGGTTAAAACACACGTCGCTGGGCCCCTGCCCCAGAGTTTCCGATCCGACAGGTCTGGAGTGGGACCTGGGAATCTACATTTCCACCAGGTTCCATCAACATTGTGAAAACCTCGACCTAGAGTAAGTAATAAATTCTAGGGGAGAGAAACCAGTGCCGAGACCACCTACAAGAATGTCTAGAGGGCTTTTCTTCAGAATTGTGCCAAACCGGAGCAAACACAGCAGAAGAATGGATTTTACATTTGCGGTATAGTCGCACAGTGGAATAGTGCACACCAGGGGAGAAGAGCCACTGTGGACACCACCTCACCCGTGTTACACGCGCAAGAGAGTCCGCTGTGCGTTTATGTGAAACTGCAGCACAGGCAAAGTAACCTGTTTCCATAGAAGACAGATTGGTGATAACCCCAGGGAGGGGAGAGTTGGGGGAGGGAGCAGGGGGGAGGTACATGGGGAGCTCATCCGGGCGTGGTTACATGGGTGTATACCTATGTTAATAATTATCGAGCTAGGGGCACCTGGCTGGCCCAGTCAGAGCAGCGTGTGACTCTTGATCTCCGAGGTCATGAGTTCAAGCCCTACTTGGGGGTAGAGATTACTTAAAATAAATAAGTTTTTAAAAAAATCATCCAGCTATAAACTCAAGATTAGTGTATGTATATTTCTATTTTACAGAATTACCCACTATATCACTACCCAATATTAATGAAACAAATTTCAAGAAACAACTTACCCTAACTCACCCTTATTAAACATGATGTACAATCACACTTGCCTATTCCATTTTTATGATTTTTTAAAAGTATTCTTTAATCTAAATTTTTTTTCTTTAATCTTTATTTATTTTTGAGAGAGAGAGAGAGACAGAGTGAAAGCGGGGAAGGGGCAGAGAGGGAGACACAGAATCGGAAGCAGGCTCCAGGCTCTGAGCTGTCAGCACAGAGCCCAATGTGGGGCTCGAACGCACAAAGTGTGAGATCATGACCTGAGCCAAAGTCTGCTGCTTAACCGACTGAGCCACCCAGGCACCCCTATTTTTATGAGTTTTAAAATTCTTGTTGCAATTGATTGAGTTAATATCATGAATTACTAGTGGTCTCCAGCCACAGTTAAAAAAAAAAAAAAAGCTGTTCTAAGTGGACCATCTCACTGAATCCTTACTGTTAGCATATCCATTTTATAGAAACGGAGGCATAGAACAGTTAAGTAATTTGCCAGAAGACTTACTTCAAGTAAGAGAAGAAGGCAGGATTTGAGCTCAGAGATACTAGTCTTAACCTCTGCACAGTAAGTGCAGACTTTTGATCTTATTTGTTGGAATGACATTTGATGGGGACTCCATAGGGCTGGATCGTGGGGCTGCAGAGGTTAAATTAGCCAGGAGCCTGTGCCCACAGAACTCACATCTAGTGGGAGAGCTAAGCACCCTCACCTCCGGAACTGCAGTAACCACATCACAAACCAAGAAGTGTGCCGGGAAAGGACAACAGAACAGGGCCGCTGACATTCACAGGGAAAAAAGTGAAGTTTTCTGGTCGCTTCCTTGACACACTTTTATTTCACCCACTCATACGTCATGATGACAGCAGTGTTTGTAGATAAATTTCTGCTTCAGTGTGTCCATCATATGAGGTGGTTGAGTGTCATGAGTATCATTCGTAGCCTGGCTTTGGAGACTCGAGAGAAGTTGAATGTCTTTGTCAGGACGGCTCAGCTCGCATTCTGAGCTCTTTCCTGCCACCTCCGGCTCTAGGAACAAGGATACGGAGGGAGCCCCACACGGACCATGTACAGGCTGTGCCCAGGGCCCGGGGGGTTTCCTGCAGTGGGGCACCGCGGACAAGCTTTATCAGGTGGCAGATGAGATGGCATTTCCCTCCCAAACCATAAGCCTTAAGAACAGGGGTGGGGAAAAGGGCAAAGAGAAAGAATGTTTAGCACCACTAGGCAGTTCATAAAAATACATCTTCTTTTCTTTCTTTTTTAAATTAACTTTAATTGTACACATAAAATTTACCACCCTAACCATTTTTTTAAAATTTGTTTAATGTTTTATTTATTTCTGAGAGAGAGACAGACAGACAGACAGACAGAGTGAGCAGGGGAGGATCAGAGAGAGAGAGGGAGACACAGAATCTGAAGTAGGCTCCAGGCTCTGAGCTGTCAGCACAGCGCCTGATACGGGGCTTGAACCCATGAACCGTGAGATCATGACCTGAGACGAAGTCAGACGCTTTATCAACTGAGCCACCTAGGTGCCCCCACCCTAACCATTTTTAAGTGCGCAGCGCAGTGCAGTGGCGTTGAAGTACATCCACACTGCTGTGCAGCCATCACCACTAGCCTTGCAGCATTCTTTTCACCTCGCAAAACTGAAACTCTGTCCCTATTAAACACCAGCTCCTTATTCCCCCTCCCCTTGTCTTTCTTTTTTAATTTTTAATGTTTATTTTTGAAAGAGAGAGAGACAGTGTGGATGGGAAGGGGGAGAGAGAGGGAGACACAGAATCCCAAGCAGGCTCAAGGCTCTGAGCCGTCAGCACAGAGCCCATTGTGGGGCTCGAATTTAAGAACTGTGAGATCATGACCTGAGCCGAAGTTGGACGCTTAACCAACTGAGCCACCCAGGTGCCCCATCCCATGTCTACTTTCTGTCTCCATGAATTCTCCTATTCCAGCTACTTCGTGTAAGAGAATTGTGTGTGGGGCACCTGATTGGCTTGGTCGGTTAAGCATCCGACTTTGGCTCAGGTTGTGATCTCATGTTTGTGGGTTCGAGCCCCGTGTCGGGCTCTGTGCTGACAGCTAGCTCAGAGCCTGGAGCCTGTCTCAGATTCTATATGTCCCTCTCTCTCTGACCCACCCCTGCTCACGCTGCCTCCCTCTCTCTCAGAAATAAATAAAAACATTTTTAAAAAATTTTAAAAAGAGAGAATTGTGTTTCCTGTTGTCATTGGCTTATTTCACTGAGCACAGTGTCTTCAGGGATCATCCATGGTGTAGCAGGTGGCAGAATCCCCTGCCTTTTAACAGTTGAATAATAGTCCATTGTGTGGAGATCTCACTTTCGTTTGTCCATGAATCTGTTGGGGTGGATGCCTGGCTTGCTTCTACTTTTTGACTAGTGTGAAGAAGGCTGCTCTGAACGTGGAGGTATAGATATCTCTGTAAGCCCCTGTTTTCACTGCTTTCATAGCTTTCACTGCTATATAATTAGAAGTGGAATTCCTGGGGGCACCTGGGTGGCTCATTTGGTTAAGTGTCTGACTTGGGCTCAGTTCATGATCTCACTATTCATGAGTTCGAGTCCCATGCTGACAGCTCAGAGCCTGGACAGCTTTGGATTCTGTGTTTTCCTCTCTCTCTGCCTTCCCCTGCTTACACTCTGTTTCTCTCTCTGTCAGAAAGAAATAAATTTAAAAAATTAAAAAAAAAAAAGAACTGTATTTGCTGGATTATGGGATAATTCTGTTTTTAATTTTTTAAGGATCTGCCATATGGTTTTCCATAGTGACTGCACCATTTTACATTCCCAACAGCAGTACAAGAATTCAACCTCCTTTCAATGCTTGTTTTTTTCTGTTTAGTTTGTTTACAATAACCACCCTAATGGGTGTGAGGTAGTTTTTTCCTTTCTCTTTTAAAAATTTAAGTTCAGGGGCACCTGGGTGGCTCAGTCAGTTAAGTGTCTGGCTCTTGGTTTCTTGCTTTAGGTCATGATTTCACGGTTAATGGTTTTGAACCCCATGTCGAGCCTGCTTGGAATTCTCTCTCTCTCCCTCTCACTCTTTCTGCCCCTCCCCTGCTCTCTCTCTCTTTCTCAAAATAAAGAAATAAATTTTAAATAAATAAATAAGTAAATTTTAAGTTCAAAAGGTAAAAACGTGTTTGCCTTGAAAACTCTACCTTCCCACTTCTCTCCACCCCCAGCCACCCACTTAGCCTCCCTGGAAAAAATTAAAATGATCAGTTTCTTGTGTATCCTTCCAGAGATACTTTATGTGAACGGAAGCAGATATGAAAATATTTTTCCTTTTTCCCACAAATGGTATTATAACATATACCCAGTTCTGCCTTTTGCATATTTTCAGTTCACAGCATGAAAGTTGAATTAAGTCAGAGTGAAGAGCTTCCTCATCTTTTAATGGTTTGAAAACTTCCCTTGTACAGCATTTTCAATTGTTCTGCCTGAGAGCGCATAACTCAAAGTTCTTAGTTGCCCAAGGGGATTGTGATTCTAATCCAAGAGGTCCGTGCCCTTGCATGGGAAAAAAATATACTTTCATTAACCTCCAACTGAAATGGGTCATTTTCTTCAATTGTGAATGTAGACAGCAAACCACAGTAATATCAGCAATACCTGTGGCAAAATCACCAATGGGAACCACAGGTATTTTCATGCCCCGTAACTAAATAGTTCCCATCTTAAAGCTTTGTTTTTGTTCAGTATCTTACCAAGTCTGCATCTAGATCACATTATTATTTTTTAAAGTTTATTTATTTTGAGAGAGAGATCTAGGGAGCAAGCCGGGGAGGGGCAGAGAAAGAGGGAGACAGAATCCCAAGCAGTCTCCGCACTGTCACCACAGAGCCTGATGCGCGCCTTGAACTCATGAACCGTGAGATCATGACGTGAGCCAAAAATCAAGAGTCAATGTTTAACCAACTGAGCCACACAGGTGCCCCTAGCTCGCCTTAATTGATAAAGAAGCAGATATAGGGGTGCCTGGGTGACTCAGTCGGTTGAGTGTCCAGCTCTTGATTTCAACCCAGGACATGATCCCAGGGTTGTGGGATTTGAGCCCTTCTTCAGGCTCCCTGCTGAGTATGGATCCTGCTTAGGATTCTCTCTCCCTCTGCCCCTCTCCCTGGCTTTCATTCTCTCTCAAAAAAAAAAAATGACAAAGAAGATATATGTCAAAGTATTTATATACCCACACAAAACACAAATACGTATATGTATACATGCATATAGAAAAATAATATTTATGTGTATTATTTATTCACTCAGTTTTTCTCAACTATTTGAGCAGACATTACTTTAGTTGCAGGATTAGTAGAAGATTAGGGTCCTTTACCCTAAAATCTCACCAGACGTACTATTGCATCACCACAGTAAATGATCAAATTCAGGGGAAAAAAAGTGATAGAATACTAAGATCTAAGATACTATCCCTATTCAAAAATTCATGATAATGTCCTTTATGGCATCTTCTTTCTGCTGCAGGATCCAGTCCAGGGTTACACGGTACCTTTAGTTGACACATCTCTTTAATCTGGAAGAGTTCCTCAGCTTTTCCTTGTGTTTTAAACCTTGACATTTTTTATTATGTATCAGTTGGTTTGTAGAATGTCCTTCAACTTAGGTTTGTTTTGATGTGTCATGGTTAGATTTAAGTGATACACGTTTAGCAGGAAGAGATGCTGTGTCCTTCTCAGTGCATTGTATCAGGAGGCACCTGATTCAGTTTGTCATTATTAGTGATGTTAACTTGCATCACTTGATTAACGTGGTGTCTTCAAGATTTCTGCACTGTAAAAGTGCCTTTATTCCCTCTGTAATTTATAAGTAGTTATGGGAAAATGCTTTGAAACTGTGCACAACAGTCTATTCCTTAACAAATTCTCACCCAGAAGTTTTCGATCCATTCTTTAGTCTTGCCTGAATCAATTATTACTAAGTTGGTTGCAAACAATGATTTTTTTTTTTTACTCAGTCATCTTCTGCACTTATTAATTGGCCTTCTGCTGTAAAGTATGAATTCCCCTCCTCCCCTGTACTCATCAGATCTCTCCAGAGACACAGAACCAATTAGGGAAATAGCTGCCAATATAAAGAGGATAGTTATTTGAGGAATTGGCTCATGCAGTTATGGAGGCTGAGAAATCTTACTTACAATCTGCAGTTTGCAACTTGGAGAACCAGTAAGTCCTGTGAACTGGGGGTGGAGGGCTGATGGTGAAAATCCTGCTCTGGATTCAAAACCCCGAGAACCAGGAGTGTTGACGTTTGAGGGCAAGAGTAGAAGGGACCCCCCGTCCCCGTATAAACTGACAGAGCTCAAATTCACCTTGTTTCCCCCTTTCCTTCTATGTGGGCCCTCAGTGGATTTGATGATGCCCACTCCCCCCCCCCCCCCCCCCAGGGAGGGCCATCTGCTTTACTCAGCTCATCAAACGAAATGCTAATATCTTCCAGAAACACCTTCACAGACACACCCAGAAATGTTTAACCAGCTATCTGGGCATCCCCTAGCCCAGCCAGTAGACACATAAAATTAACCATCACATCCCCATTAATTAGTTAATTTAGATTTGAAGTATGAACTCCTGAATTCTCTTTTTATGTGAACTGTTATTGTCCGTCCCTGTTATTATTTATTTTGATACTCAAATTGTTGTCAGTCTGGCCAGTGGCAGCTCCTTCAAACTCTCATTTTGACATTCTGTTCCCTTCCACAAGGAAACGTCCCAGGCTCATCTTAGAGTTTTCCTGTTTCAGCCCTGGAATCAGCCATTCTCCAAGGAGCCTTGGCTGTTTCCTTGGAGAATGGTACTTAGAACTTTTGCTTTTTTATCATTAACCAAACACTTCCAGCAGGCAGCATCCCATCCGGTGGGGTGCCTGAGAGAAACAAAACAGAATGTTCCTTTCTGGAGTATACAGTCCCTCGTTTCTTGTTTTTTGTATTTTTAAAGAAAAAATTTTGGGGGCGCCTGAGTGGCTCAGTCAGTTAAGCGTCCGACTTCGGCTCAGGTCATCATCTCATGGTCCATGGGTTCAAGCCTTGCATTGGGCTTTGTGCTGACTGCCAGCTCAGAGCCTGGAGCCTGTTTCAGATTCTGTGTCTCCCTCTCTCTCTCTGACCCTCCCTTGCTCATGCTGTCTCTCTCTCTTTCTCAGGAAAAAAATTTTTTTTAAATTTTTTTAAAAAATAAAAAGAATTTTAATGTTTATTTTTTGAGAGAAAGAGGGTGCGAGTAGGGGAGGAGCAGAGTGAGAGGGAGACAGAATCTGAAGCAGGTTTCTGTCAGCACAGAGCCAGGCGTGGGGCTCGAACCCACGACTGTGAAATCATGACCTGAGTTGAAGTCAGACGCTGCTTAACCGACTGAGCCACCCAGGTGCCCCAACAGTCCATCTTCATGAGGAACCTGTAAAAGCGACCAACATCTTTTCTTACAGGTAAACCTGGGACCAGACAAAATGGTGGTTGACCTGACAGACCCCAACCGGCCACGCTTCACTCTACAGGAGCTAAGGGATGTGCTCCAGGAGCGCAACAAACTCAAGTCCCAGCTGCTGCTGGTGCAGGAGGAGCTGCAGTGCTATAAGAGGTGGGGCTCTGCTGCCGTGGGGACCCCTGCGCCGCAGGGTCAGTCCCCACCTGGAATTCCGTGATGTGCCATGTGTTTGTTCTTATGTCCACTCGGCCAGTTTATCGGAGACCTAGTACACGCCAGACACTATTCCTGGGGAATAGCAGGGAACAAAACAGAGGAAGTCCATGCTAGTCTAGGGGGAAGACAAGCAATCAACAAGGAAATCTGAAATGGACACGCAGGGTAATGGCGACAAGTGGTCTAGAGAATGTAAAACAAGGTGACATGGGGTGCCTGGGTGGCTCAGTTGGTTAAGCATCTGACTTGATTTCAGCTCAGGTCATGGTCTCATGGTTTGTGAGATAGAGCCCCGCTCCGCTCACAGTGCAGAGGCTGCTTAGGATTCTCTCTCTCTCTCCCTCTCTCTCTCTGCCCCTCTCCCACTCACTTTCTCTCAAAATCAATTAAGGAACAAAACACAACATCTTTAAAACCAAGGTGAGGGGCATCTGGGTGGCTCAGTCAGTTAAGTATCTGACTTCAGCTCGGGTCATGATCTGGTTTATGAGTTCAAGCCCCGTGTCAGGCTCTGTGCTGATAGCCTGCTTCAGATTCTGTGTCTCCCTCTCTCTCTCTGCCCCTGCCCTGCTCGTGCTGCTGTCTCTCAAAAATGAGTAAACATGAAAAAACTTTTAAAAACCCCAACAAACAAGGTGACATATGACAGCAAAGTGCTGGGAGGTGGAGGGGTCCTGTTTTACATGGAGCGGTCAGCAGAGACCCCTCTGAGGTCAGTGACAAGAGGCAGCCAACCGTGTAAGGATTGGTAGGGCAAAAGTGGAGCAAGAAGTGCTAAGAACCTGACGTGGGAACGATCTTGGCCAATTTAAGAGACCCAGCATGGTGGAGGTTGGAACATGGGTAGAAGTGTGCCTTGTGGGCCACAGGAAGGAGCTCTGATTTTATTGTAAGTGTAATGAGAAGTCTTTGGAAAGTTTTAATCAAGGAAATGACAAGATCCAGTTTACTGTTTTAATGTTTTATTTATTTCTAGGAGAGAGAGAGACAGCGTGAGCTGGGGAGGGTCAGAGAGAGAGGGAGTCGCAGACTCTGAAACAGGCTCCAGGCTCTGAGCTGGCAGTCAGCACAGAGCCCGACGCGGGGCTCGAACCCACGAACCGCGAGATCGTGACCTGAGCGAAAGTCAGACGCTTAACCGACTAAGCCACCCAGGCGCCCCCCAGTTTACTGTTTTAAAAGATCAACTTGAGAAGTACCTGGCTGGCTCAGTCCGTAGAGCATGCAAGTCTTGATCTCGGGATCGTGAGTTCAGGCCCCATGTTGGGCATAGAGCTCACATTAAAAAAAAAAAGTATAAAATAAAATAGCAGTATGGTAACTTGATAACTGAACTACTTGGTTATGTCAGAGAATGTCCTCGTTTCTCAGAAACACACACTGAAATATTTAGGAATAAGGGGGTAAGATGTGGTTCAGAAGGAAGACAGATGGGTGGATGGGTGGGTAAGTAGATGGATGGATAGATAGGCAGGTAGGTAGATACAGAGACAAGCAATTGGGAGATTTCGTTAAAGAGTACATAGGAAGCCTTCATACTAATTTTACAAGTTTTCTGTAAGTTTCAAATTATATAAAAATTAAGTTATAAAGGATCACAATAGGGGCACCTGGCTGGCTCAGTCGACAGACTGTGCGACTCCTGATCTCAGGTTGTGAGTTCAAGTCCCATGTTGGATATGGAGATTACTTAAAAATAAAACCTTAAGAAAAAAGATCACAGTAACATGTGTAAGGAAAAGATTGTAGGACAAGCAAGAGAAGCAGTAAGAAGCTGTTGACATGCTGGGTTTGGACTGTGCTGTCTCCATCTGCATCCTGTTTCCCAAAATATTTTCTTTCATGTTGTCACTTCTTGAAAAGGGGGTTCTGTGGTTAAATAATTCGAGAAACTGTGGCGTTAAAGCAGTTTCCATTAAAGGCAGAAGAAGGAAAGACCAAGAGAATAAAAAACTGAGCGCCAGCTAATATGTCTCAATGTATATCACATGCCAGGCACTCTACTAAGTGTATTCGAAGCATCATCTCCATTAGTGCTCACAGCAAGGTGAGTGACGGTAACGTTACCTGCAAGGTGTTCTTAGGTTTAGTGAGGTCAGGACCTGCCAAAGTCCCACGGCTCATGGCGGCAACAGTGAGTCATGACCTCAGACAGCCTGATTATCAGAGCCTGTGCTTTTAATTATTGGCCATGTTTACAAGTAAGAACTTAGGCTGATTCAAAACAAAGCAAAGTCCAAATGATACCACTGTTTTCCTTTAACGGCCCCCGCCCCATGACATTATCTTTAAATTCGCTCAAGGTAGAATCATTAAGAAGGCAGCGCTACAGTAAAAAAAAAAAAAAAAAGTTCTAGCAAACCGCATTCAGAAGGCCCGAGTCCTGCCGACGGGAACTTAATTGTCTTCCATCTGCAGAGGTTGGAACTGCATTAATGGAAAGACCTGTCTGTATCTCATTCAAGAAGTACTTCAGACACAGGTGGTTAAACACAGGAACAGCTAGATGGCTGGTGCTGGGGCAGCTCGTTAGCAAATAAAGAGACACACTTTATTTCTAGTTCTGAATTCCCAGCGAACAGCAGCCGTGCACGTCCTGTCTCGTATAGGCCAGGCCAGTAGACAGCAGGAATCTGCTTACTCACGTGGGTTCTACATTCTGGAGAAACTAGCATGCCCGCTGAGGTGTTCTCCTAGCAACTGCGGCAGTTTGGAGGTTCAATTTCTACTGTACTTGGTTTGTTTTGCTTTGTTTTGTTTTAAGTAGGCTCCATGACCAGTGTGGAGCCCAGTGGGGGGCTCGAACTCACGACCCTGAGATCAAGACCTGAGCTGAGACCGAGAGTCAGACGCTTAACCCACTGAGCACCCCAGGTGCCCCTAATGATGGTTTTGACTTGAGGTAGAGGTGGGAGGCTGCTTCCAAAGATGGCCATGATTTTTCCCATCCCGAGTGCCTTTTGCAATGAGACTTTTCCAACCTCAAGAGGTAGAGTCTGTTTTCCCCTCTCTTCGAGTCTGGGCAGCCCAGTGACTTGCTTTAACCAATAGAATGGAGTGGAATCAATGCTCTGTGGCTTCTGAGATGAGGGTGCCGGGAGACCTTGCAGCTTGCATTTTTATCCTTGTGGAATGCTTGTGAGGAAGCTCAAGGCGGTCCCATGGAGAGGTCACACGAAGGAGAAGTGAGGTGCCCCAGCTGTGTCCAGATCACCCACCAAGCCAACCCTAGGAAATGGAGCCATCATGAGAAATCAAAAATCGTCCTTGTTTCAAATCACTGTGTTTTAGGGTGTTATGCAACAATAGATAATGAAGGGGGTTTTATTAATAATCAATTAATACCGTATTAATATTAATGCTATAGTAAATATATAAATAATAATATTGAATAATAAGAGCTCACGCTTTGCAAAGGAGAGAGAAGAATGAACCCTGCTCTGTGACAGTCATACCTAAAGAGGTGTCTTAGTCAGCTGGGCTGCCATAACTAAATACCATAGACTGGGTGGTTCAACCGACAGGAATATTTTTTTCTCATACTTCTGGCAGGTAAAAGTCCAAGATCAGGGTGCCAGTATCCTCAGTTCTGATTCTTCCTGGCTTCTTGCACATGGCAGAGAGAGCAAGGCCTCAGCCATCTCCTCTTACAAGGGCTCTGATCCAACCATGACTCCCCCCCTCCCATGACCTCATCTAAATCTAATTGTCTCCCAAAGGTCCTATCTCCAAATATCATTACACTGGGGCTTAGGGCTTCAACATACGAATTCTCAGGGACATTATTCAACCTGTAGGGAGGGGGAAACACCATGGACATAGGTGGGGCGCCTAGGTGGCTTAGTCAGTTAGGTGTCTGACTCTTGATTTCAGCTCAGGTCATGATCCCAGGGTTGTGGGATTGAGCCCCATGTTGGGCTGGAAACTGCTTGAGAGTCTCTCCTCCCCCCGCCCCTCCCCTGCTTGCATGTACACATGTGCACCCTCTCTGTCTAACATAAAAAATTTTTTAAATTTGGGGGATGCCTGGGTGGCTCGGTTGGTTAAGCCTTTGACTCTTGACTTTGGCTCAGGTCATGATCTCACAGTTCGTGAGATCGAGCCCCATGTCTGGCTCTGTGCCGACAGCACGGAACCTGCTTGGGATTCTCTCTCTTCCTCCTTCTCTCTGTCCTTTTCCCCCACTTTCTCTCTCTCAAAATAAACAAACTTCAAAAAATTAAAATTAAAAATTTTGTGAAATATTTCCTTGTGGTCAGGTTTCTTTTTGTTGCAAGTGACAGAAACTTGATTCAAACTAGCGTAAGTACAAAAGGGAATTTACTGAGCCACGTGGTTGGGAAGGATCTTGGGATTGCCTTCAGAAATAAAGAAAAAACTGCAGTGAAGGTCTCAGGATTAGAACCACAGACTTGGTGCCTCTTTCTTTCCTCCTTGCTTCTCTTTGTTTGTTGGCTCCATTATCCTGTGTTGTAAACACACCTGCTAGGAATCTTAGAAACATGGCTGCTGGCGATCCCAGTTGACCAAGTGAGAGCGAACAGCTTTCTTCCAGCTTCTGTACAGCAAGCCCAGGGAAATAGTCTGGTCCTCTTTGAGTCAACTGACCTCAATATGTTATCAGTCAGTATCAAGTTAGCTCTTATTACCATATGACTTACTATATATTTTTTTCACTTTATTTATTTATTTATTGACTGCTTCCTTCCCTAGTGGAAACATATGAACTGCATGATAGGAGGTAATTTTGCCTGTTTTGTTCACTGCTCCAGTGCTTTGGCATGGTATGTGGCTTACTAAATATTTGTGGAGTGAATGGTGCTGTGTAAAATCTCAATCACTCAACCGTAGAAGGCAGTCACTTGTGTGATCCTCCCTTTATTGGTTAGAAAATCACGGCCTCAGTTAGAGAACTGATATGTGGTCATATTCCTAGAAGGTGGAGAAGGTTGAAGTACTAGCCAATGCAGTTAGACAAGAAAAGGAAAGAAGAGGGATCAGCACTGGAAACGTGGGAGGAAGATTCTCATTATTGGAAGCAGAATCTCTCTGACTCTAGCGTTCAGTTATTAGTAACGTAATAATAATTTTTAAGACCCTTCACTTTCAGAGCTGCACAGGCAGAAGGCCTGCACTAAAACAACCCATTTATCCGTCCCCTTTTCCCCAGTGGTCTGCTTCCACCAAGAGAAGGCTCAGGAGGACGAAGAGAAAACGATGCCCGTGTCGCCAGGCCCGGCAATGCCAGAAGTAACAAGGAAGAGAAGACCATCATAAGGAAGTTGTAAGTTACCTTGCTGCCACACTACCACCGAATAATTGCTAAAGGGAGGAGTGGGGGCCCGAGGAGGCTGGCCGGCTGCCCGGGGTAGAGGGGCCCTACTGTCCGGCCAGGGACGCAGCAGCTGAGAAGAAAATTCAGAGCTGGAGTATTACAATATCTGTTAGACAGCAGTCTAAGCACTTAACATACTTTGAGTCATGGACTCTCAACAGTGACCCTAGGAGGCAGAAACTGCCATTATCCCCGTTCTGCAGGTAGAAAAATAGATACAGAGAGGTAAAGTCATTCGCCTGAGGTGACACAGACAGTAAAGAGCAAAGTCAGGATTTGAACTCAAGGAAGTTCAGAGTCTACACTACTGCTTCCCTATCATCTAATAATACTACAACCAAAAGAAAAATAATTATTATTATTAGAATTTAAGGGGAACTCATGGGGTGCCTGGCTGGCTCAGTTGGTAGAGCATGCAACTGACTCTTGCTCTTGGGGATGTGAATTCAAGCCCCATGTTGAGTGTAGAGTTTACTTAAAAAATGTAGGGTTGCCTGATTTATGACCTCTCTTCCTTCCAACTTTGGAGGACCCTGTGTCTCCCAGCACTGGGGCATACAATGCACTTTCCTTTCACTACGCCCTCCATGTTTATGCTCCCTCGTTAATCCATCATTTCTCTGGGTGCTAAGCCTCCAACCGTAGATTGTGCAGTACGTGTTTAAAATTCAGATTCTCAGAAGTCAAGTCTCGGATGAAGCCCAGAAGTCTGGATTTCTAATAAATCCCCCAGGCAACTCTGATGTGGAGAACCCTTGGCCCACACTTTGAGAGGTGCCTTCTCAGTCACCAGGTGCCCTTACACGAGGCACGCCTTTCTCCCACCCTCCTTGAAGCAACCAGCCCGTTTGGCGTGGCTGCTTCGGGAAGCTCTGGCCTGGAGACAGCTACCTGCCCCCGATCTCTTGCACAAGAACTGAGAAGCTGCCTCCGTCAGGGATCTCAAACTCAAATGCCTACAGGGGCCAGGCACTTAATATGGATGAGTGATAGGGGTGTTGGGTTGGGTGGGGGGGCATTTGCCAGGGTCCTGGCAAGAAACAGATCACACACTTAAAAGGGGCGACTGAAAAGATTTAAAGAAGGGACATCTTACAGATGTGGTCGGGGTTACGCTCTGGGGAGTCCTAGAAGGCTTCCATGAGGAGGTGACATTCAAACTGGGCCCTGAAAGACCATAAAGACTGAGAGAAGGGCATTCTTGGCAGAGGGAATAGCAGGTATAAAGGCCTGAGGCAGGAGGTGAATGGAGGGGAGGCTGGAGTGCAGGGGAGGGATGGTGAGGGTCCCACTAAGGAGCTTGAATTTCACTCTGAAAGAACTTCGGGAAGACATCAGGTTTTAAGCAGGAGAGCCACATGACCACATTTACGTGTAAAAGCTCACTCTGGCTGCTTTGTGGAGGCGGTGTGGGGACATAGTCACAGCAGGGCCCAGGGGTGTGTTTCTTTCCCAAGGAAGCCTCTCCTGGGGTAAAGTAATAAAATGAAAGAGTATCTCCATTCCACACCAGGTGTCATTTCTGAAGGTGTTTATTTAGCACTTTTATTGGCTGGACATCCCATTGTAAATAAGGCTTCCAGAAGACATAAATTACTGGTTACTTTGTTCCTCTTAGGAGAGTTCTTTGGGCCCTTTAGATTTTGAGCCTGATATGGCAAAAAAAAAAAAAATAACAGAATAAAAAAGCCAGCCTGAGGTCATATATCTAATGAGCAAGAGGCCACAATTTCATGGTCAGACCAGCTTATTGAGTGAATGAATGAATGAGTGAATGAATGAATGACTTTCTGAGAAAGTAGGTCATATGCCAAGAAGATTTGTCTGTGTCCTGAGGACAACGGGAAGCCATGGAAGGGCTTAAGCTGCGGAATGACTTAGCTCTGCTGAGTGACATGGTCATCCCGGCTGCTGCGTGAGTGGATTCTAGGGGGTGGCAGGAAGGCTGTTGTGTTGACGTGGGGGGGGGGGGGGGGGGGGGGAGATGAAAGTGTTGGGATTAGAAAGATATTTGGGGCCTGATGACTAACGTGTAGCAGATGGGGGGGGAGGAGCTGAGAACAACTCCCAGGTTCCTGGCACGAATGACGAGGCGGGCGATGATGTCACTTCCTGAGATGGGGTGCTGGTGGGCGCAGGCAGTAGGGACAGGCTCAGGGGAGAATGGCCTGGATCCGAATATGAGTCCAGCGCCCGCCGCAGCCACTGCTAGCAGAGCCGCTCACGGTCCTCAAGCGTGTGGTCTTTGACAAGAAGCACGAAGCCACCTTCCTGTCATGGGCTTTCCAGCCCACCAGCCAGCGCTGAGTCTTCCTTGTAGCTGCAAGTAACAAGCGCTGACCCTGAGTGTTACCATCAACCCCCAGGCAGCACGCTTCCTTTTCAAAACTTTGCATGGGGCGGGGGGAGGGAGACGCTGAGCGTTTGGTATTCGTGTCTCAGGGGATATCTGTATGTTTGATCTGAGAATTTCCATGCCGATCTTTACTCATGGCAAAGCTCTGTCTTACAATTGGAGGTCACATGCACGCTTCCTCCACAGTAAAACCTCCCGAAATTAAAAAAGGCGTCGGACACCGTCTTTCAACACCGTGATTTACATGGGCTCTGGGGTCCTCCACCTCCTGTTCCACAACTTACTGTGTGACCTTGGGCCTGTTACTAAACCTTGCAGGGCCCCCGTGTGCTAATCTGTAAAAGAGGGACGTTGACGGTACGTGGCTCATCAAGCTGTTATGAGTGTGAAATGAGCTGATGGATGGAAAGCCCCTAGATGGTGTCTGCCCATAACGAGCCCTAAGCAAACGTTTGAGTCCATGGCCTGCAAGAGCCTCTTACGGACTCTGCAGGGCTCTGCACCCCTCATTTCATTCGTGGTGCCCTCTGACCCCTGTCTTCTCACACAGGTTCTTTTTCCGATCCGGGAAGTAGACACAGGCCTAAGGCCACAACGAAGGCAGTGGAATTTGGACTCAAGAAGGCAAAACGCCACGACTTCCAAACGCATCTCTCCGCGCCACGTGTGTGCACTGTCCTTGCTCATTTGTTTCCCCTGAAAGCCACCGAGGAGGAAGGAGGGGAGGCTCTCGTGATCATTATCTGTGTGGCCGCAGAGCTGGACACCCCCGGAGGCTCGGCCAGGGCAAGACAGGAGAAGGAAAGCGAAAGGGAAACAAGACCTACTTCCTGCTCCACTTGGGCCTCCCAGAGGGCCCTCCAGCGTGCAGATGCGCCTTCCATTTGTCTGGTCCCACAGGTGACCTGGTCTCTCCCACGTAGTAGCAGCAAAAATACATGAGCCCACAGGGCGAGGGGAGGAGAAAACGCAGGGAAAAAAATGTTTATTGACATTCCATTCCAGTGATGATCTCACGGATATGTAGGGAATATTCTATTTCGCTTCACGAGACTTTATATGATTTTACATGGTTTTGTATCAAAGTAAAATGACTTTTATACTTTCTCTGAGTGCTTCAGAGTGGTCTCTTAGAATTATGTGACCTTATGTGATGGGCTTTAACCGTTCAGACCCTCCGGTGCCAAATCTGTAAATTGTATGTACGTACATACACATATGCAGACGCTGGTATATATACGGTGCATATATGTTGCAGGGACTCTAAATGACACACCAGTATTTTGTGTGTTGTTCTGAGAGAAAAAGTATGCTGCAAATTATCATTATTTTTTGACAAAAGTTTCCCAAGTAACCAAATCATCTTGAGAAAGAAAGAAGAGCAAAGCTGGAGGTATCACAGTCCCAGATTTCTTGATACACCACCAAGCTGCGGTGATCAAAACAGTGTGGTGCCTGCACGGAAACCAGACCACGGATCGACAGAACGGAATAGAGAGCCCGGAAGTAAACTCACAACTTCTATTGATCTATGATCCATTGATCTGCGACAAAGGAGGCAACAATATAGTGTGGGAAAGACAGTCTCTTCAACAAATGCTGCTGGGAAAACTGGACAAATCTTAACATTTAGATGCTGTTGATTTTAAGGCTCATCCTGATTTCAAAAATGTTAAAATGGGGGGAATGCATGTGGGATTCAGTGAAATACAGTCCAGGGAAAACTCCAAAAGGTCAAAGTACCTTACACGAGGCCACGGAGCTAGGAAGCGGCTGCCCCAGATGCATGTGAAGGCCTGTTTCTAAGGCCCGGGTTCCGACCCGCAAAGTGCGACGTACCCTGCTTCTCCGAGCGGCAGTAACATGAAGCATGAGTGCATGTGTCGCCTGCACCACTCCGAGGACCTTATGCAAGCTGCCTCACTGTCCCGCCGTGGGAGGCGCGTTGTCATTCCCGGGTACACCCAAGGTTACAGCGCAGTGGGGCTGAGGGACTCATCCAGAACCCCAGCCCAAAAGTGGTAGAAGTCAGACCTGAACCCAGATGCAAACTCCGCAAGCCAGGTTTCAGCCACTCTGCCTCCCGAGAAATGTCGGCCACGCTGAGTCCCATCCTGCACGTTATCTTGGCAGAGCCTTCCTTCCAACAGGGGCTCCTGATTCCAAACCCCAGGTGCTGGCGCCCTCACTGGGTGCTCTTGTCCTAACGGAGGCGGGGAGGGGAAAGGTTTTGGCACGATGGAGGTGAGAGCCGGCTGGGGAAACAACATGCATCCTGCCTTCCGAACCCCATGCAGAGGCTGTGCAGGGGCCGCACAAAGAGGCAAGGAGATCATACAACAGTGTGTGTGTGTGTGTGTATGTGTGTGGCGGGGGTGGGGGGACAGTGCTGTGTCTTTTGCAGGACTGAGAGCAAGCTCCACTCCTGGGAATGCCATTGAAAGTCCACCCTCCAAGGCACCAGTCTTACATCCGAGAGTCCCGGCTATGACAGCCAGGCCCCTACACCTGACTCATTCTTGCCTCGGTTTCCCCAGCTCCAGGCTGCAGGATGGCCATAAAGTCTAGAAGCAGACAGAAGATCACTGTGTGCCGCTGTCAGTAAGCCACTTATACATATCACCTGCATTTCCAGACTTGGGGGCACCCCTATATAAGTGCTTAGCTGCCCCTTTCTCCTGCACAGGGATAGATAAGGCAAGAAAACCCACTCAGAAAAGAAATGTCGGGGCACCTGTTCAGTCAGTTAAGCATCCAACGTCAGCTCTGGTCATGATCTCACAGTTTGTGAGTTCGAGCCCTGAGTTGGGCTCTGTGCTGTCAGTGCAGAGCCTGCTTCTGATCCTGTCTCCCTCTCTCTGCCCCTCCCCCTCCCTCAAAAATGAAGGAATGAACATCTAAAAAAAGGAAAAAGAAAAATGTCAAGTTAAAACAGCCTTCGGGGCACCTGGGTAGCTCAGTCAGCTAAGCATCTGACTTCAGCTCAGGTCATGATCTTGTGGTTCGTGAGATCAAGCCCCACATTGAGCTCTCTGCTGTCAGTGGAGAGTCCGCTTTGGATCCTCTGTTCCTCTCTCTCTCCCCCCCATCCCCAGTTCGAGCTCTCTCAAAAATAAACATTAAAAAAAAAAAAAGAGGGGCGCCTGGGTGGCTCAGTCGGTTAAGTGTCCGACCTCGGCTCAGGTCATGGTCTCACGGTTCGTGGGTTTGAGCCCCGTGTCAGGCTCTGTGCTGACAGCTAGCTCAGAGCCTGGAGCGTCTTTGGATTCTGTGTCTCTCTCTTTCTCTGACCCTCCCCTGCTCATGCTGTCTCTCTCTCTCAAAAATAAATAAAAAACATTAAAAAAAAAAAAGAAAAAAGAAAAAACAGCCGAGGTTCCTATGTATCCTGGGAGAGACTATAAGAAAGGTGACAGTTAGGGGCGCCTGGGTGGCTCAGTCGGTTAAGCGTCCGACTTCGGCTCAGGTCATGATCTCATAGCTCATGGGTTCGAGCCCCGCATCGGCCTCTGTGCTGACAGCTCAGAGCCTGGAGCCTGCTTCTGATTCTGTGTCTCCCTCTCTCTCTGACCCTCCCCTGCTCACACTGCCTCTTTCTCTCTCAGAAATAAATAAAACATTGAAAGAAAGAAAGAGAGAGAGAGAAGGAAGAAAAGAAAGGGACAGTTAAGAGTGCTCAGATCTTACCAACTCTTGGTGGACTCACACTGGGGTGTGGGAGGGTAAGTCCTGGGAGCATTTCTCTTGGAGGTGGGGCCTGGTGTGACCACAGAAAACAGTTACCTTTGCTCCCACACTGCGGGCTTTCTTCACCAAACCCAGCTCCGGGAGGAGCAGGCTTGAGAAGTCGGGGTTTCACAAGGCACAAGAAGTGTTTGCTGTAGCAATCATCTTTAAAAAAAATGAATGGGGCGCCTGGGTAGCTCAGTCAGCTAGCGTCCAACTCTTGATTTCAGCTCAAGTCATGAGCTCACAGTTTGTGAGTTCAAGCCCCGCACAGGCTCTGCTGACTGCTTGGAGCCCGTTTGGGAATTCTCTCTCCCTCTCTCTGTTCCTCCCCCGCCCGTGCTCTCTCTCTCTCTCTCTCTCTTGCTCTCTCTCAAATAAACTTAAAATATATTTTTAAAAAATAAATAAATCAATACAGCAACTATCCAAGTGGAGGCTTTTCGCCATCATTCCCTGGAACTTGTAAACAGCCAGTGGTAGAAACGCCAAGTTTTGATCCTGACAGCAAACATCAGTGACTGGGGATTAATCTGTGGGCAAGGTGCTGCTCCATGAGCTGTTCCTGCACTAACTCAACCGCACCCCCACCCACCCCCGGCACCTGTGCGCCAGCACTGCCCTGTGTTGCTGAGGAGGGAAGTGTCGTGCGCACAGAGCTGTCACCTGCCCGAGGACACATAGCTGCAAAGTGGGTGGAGATAGAGGTTCTGTTCCAGGCACTTGGCCGCCAGGCCCCTCCGTCCCCGTCCGAGGTGAAGACGTAGTCATCTGTGGCGGCTGAATCCTCAGGACCCCGCTGCATGTCATGGAGGCAGAGGCTGTTCCCAGCTGATGCGCAAGCATCAGAGAAGGAAAGCGATTTGTGCAAGGGGACAGGCTGACAGACACTCAAAGCAGCGGGTTGAGGGCAGCCGGTGGAGGGTGTGGTGGGGACGGCGACCTGACTGGTAGGAGTGACTGCCAGCACAAGACGGGCACAGCTGACGACTGAGACTCCTGCCCGAGAACCAAATCTCCTACGTTAGAAACACAATGGTGAGCACAGCCGCTAAAAACCCGTGCTGACTGTGTGCTGGGTGGCGGCCTAAGGGAGGACTCGACATGCATCCGCTCTTCACCTTATCTAGCACCCGTGACCCCGATCACACAAATAACCTATCCACTAGGACACTCACCAAAACACACACATACTGCTGCATAACCTCTTTTAAAAAATTTTAAGTAATGTCTGCACCCAACATGGGGCTTGAACCCACAACCCTGAGATCAAGAGTTGTGTGCTTTACCGACTGAGCCGGCCAGGCGCCCCTGCTGTGGGACCTTCCGGAAGACAAAGCAGGAAATCCAACCCTCTTTCTAGTTTCACTTCGTAAAAAAACAAACAAACCAACCAACCAGAAAGACACACAGGTGGCCTCGCCTGGCAATAAATATTTTAATTTTTGTTTCATTTTTATGATGACAAATAATTTTCAAGTTATTTCCTTTTTTTTTTTTTTTTAAATACAAAGCTAAACCACAAACAGGTACAACCAAGACATTTTATCTCACATTTACACACTCTGTCGGATCCTCCTCCGATTCTCTGACCACTGACCAGGCAAGTGGGGGGCGGTGGGGGGGGGGAGACTTTCGTAGGTAGCACCGTGGTGAGGCCAGGGCTGGAGGGACATCAAGGTTGACGACAGGCTGTCATACCTGTCTCTATTCACATTTACCCAGGCCCAGGGGAGGCCAGGAGACCCCAGGTCATGGCTCCAGGGCCAGGGCCCCTGGACTACAGGTTGACAGAGTGAGAATAGGTCTCCCTTCAGGAGGGAGGAGGAAGCGACCTACCCTCCTGCATCACAGTCAAGGTGAAAACTTTACCCTTAGCCTTGATCCCTGGGCTGCCGGGCCTGCCCACTCCCCTGCGCACCAGCGGCTGGGGTGGGGGCCACGCGTTTCGGGGCGAGCAGGCTCCCCCTTCGGTTCATGGCTGCACCTTCAGTTTTGCAGGAAGGACACCAGGTGGTCTGACAAACAGAAAGCCTGACAGAAGGTCTAGAACTTTCAACCCATTGGAATTGGGACACGGTTTTGGGGGGTGGGGGGGAGGAAGAGGGTGGGATAGCGGGTAAGTAATTTCTGGTCCCACTACAAAACTTATTTTTGATTAGAATAGAGTACCATCTCAAATCTCTTCTACAAAACCAAAAAAAAAAAAAGAAAAAAAGGAGAAAGAAGAAGGAAAAAAATCGCAGCCACTTCACTCACTTCAAGACCTATATACATGTAAGTTGTTTTCTGTGGTTTTTTTCTTTTTTTTTTTTGTATTTTTAAATTTTTAAATTTTTATTATTATTTTTTAAAATAAACTCAGTGTTCACATTTCTATAAAGAATCAACCCAGTTTTGGGAAACCCTGCCCCGGCAGGGCTAGGCGAGCAATGCCTTTCCCTGCCCACGTCGACTCTGACTACCCGCCCTGATGCGTGGAGGTGCCCCGAGGAGCGGCAGCCTGCGGAAGAGTGACCCGCGCTCGCGGGCCACCGGGTCAGTAAGCTTTCGAGAAAGCAGAGGGGAAGACTAGCTTACTGCGAAACCTTTTTTAAAAAATATTCATACACTTCCTTGTGCGCCTGTCCAGACGTCAGGAAAACAAGAGCTTGGGAACACCCCGTCCGGGCCTCGGGAGGCGGCTCCTCCGGGACTGGCCTGCGCTCAGCCGACGGCCGTCGGGGGGGCGTGGGGAAGAGAGTCCTGGCTCTACGGCTGGAGAGTCGCCCAGCTTCCTAGTTCATGTTCACTCTTTCCTCTAAAGCCTGTGCTGCGTCTTTGACTGCATGCACGGGAAGCACAAACGTTTGACTTGTATGCAAAAAAGGTACAAAAACAACTAGAATATAAAAGTTTTGGTAATATAAGGCCATCTGTTCAAGTCCACCTTGGAAACCTGTAACAGATATTTAAATACTACAGTGAAAAGGCATCTTAATATACTTTTTAAAAACATCTGAAGTAATCCGCTAAGATTTAAGTGTGTAAAAAAAAAAATCAATTCCCTTTGAGGGCACTTTGTCCATGGAAGAAGGGGGAGGGCGGGGCGGGCGGGGCGGTTAATGCTTCAGCCAGGGGTAGGCTTCGATGGAAGCCCGGCTGCGGTCCCCGTAGTCGTACAGGAGCTCCTCCCCGGCCTCGATGTCACGGGAGGCGATGAGGATGAGGTGAGGCACGCCGTCAATGTCGTGCAGTTTGGTTTGGCAGTTCCCACACTTACTGTGGTTGATCAGTCTCCCCAGGCGGTTCGTCTCTCTGGTCGCATCCACGCTGGCGGGAGGGGGGGCAACAGAGGGTGCAAATTCATAAAGAGGCTTTTGATCCCAGTCACAGCCAGCTCGAGGCGCTGGTGGGGCGTCGATTTATAGCCACGTTTTGGGGAAAGCAATTCAAGTCAAAACAACATTTTTTAAGAGCCAAGGGAGGCACTGGGTGAGAGCGCGGAGGGGTGGGAGGAGACGGGGCTGCAGAAGGCTCTTTGTGGAGTCCTGTGAGGCAAGGGCCTAATAAATAAATGAATAGAAATCAACTCTGCGGAGAGTGGGGGGAGCTGGGAGGAGGCAGGAGTATCGGAACTCTCCGTACCTTCTGCTCAATTTTGCTGGGAACCCAGAACTGGTCGGAAAAATAAAGCCTTATTTAAAAAACTACAACAACAAAACCGAATCAAGTACACCGGCCATATGGGGACAGAGCAGTCGCTGATTTCAGGGCTGCTCTAGCCAAATGCCACGAGAGGGAGCGGCGGGTCTGCATGGGTGGGTCCACTTCCGCTTCTCACTGGGCCAGACAGCGGCCCGAACAGCTCCGACCCCAAAGACTCAAATGGCAAGGGGGTGTGTGGGGCCGCTTCACGGCTTTGGAAAAAGACCGCGAGAACTAAGCAAGAAGCAGGAGCAACAGAAAGACTCAGGAGGCGGTCGTGGCCTTGTGGCGCTCGGGCCTGTCCTCTCTGCCAGGGCGCGGAAACGCCACTCGAAGCACTAGCGGACTTACCAGTAAGTTTTGCTCAGATACTGAAAATAGTACATGTAGCAGCCCGTGGAGGGGTCTTGTGCATACAAAGCCTCCCGCTTCTTGGCATCGGTGATCTCGATGAGGTCCCCGTGGTACTCGACCACGAACTCGCCCCGGGAGAACTGCTTGGTGGCTATCACGCCCCTGCCCTTGCCATCGATGAGGTCAATCTGTTGGGGGACCAGGAGAGAGCATTGCTTCCCAACACCATGCACGGCCGGCTTCCTCGGCGCCTGGGGTTGCCCCCCTTCCTTCATCGGCTTTACTGAGATATGGCCCAGCCCTCACTCGTTTTACGTGCGCAGCACAACTGGTATTATTCACCGTACTCAGCTGTGCAACTATCGCCATGATCCGTCACCCCAAAAAGTTCCCTTGTGCCCTTTGCCAAGCAGTGTTACCCCTGATCCTCCCGAGGGATCTGCTGGGTGGATGTGGCCCCATTTTGCAGATGAGAAAACAGAGGCTCAGAGGCAGATCTATGTCCAAGGCCACATGGCTGGGAAGTGGTAAAAGTCTGGCTCGCATCCACATACGTGGCCCCTTCTGGAGGAGACAGGGGTGGGAGTGGGACCCCATGTTCCACGTCTCTCCCTTTCCTGTAATGTGCCCTCCTGTGCTTCTGCTCACTCGTTATAAATGGGGTTGCAGGGTGACCGCTTGAGGGGGAGACTTAAGTTTGGATCCTTCTAGATGGTGCGTGGAACTGGAGCTTTATTATGACTCTGGAGTCCCAGCCCAGACCCACGTGGCCGCCACTGTAGAGTCCTGCCCCTCTCATCCACCCAATGTGTTTGCAATACGTGAAAAGAAAAGCAAATTTCTTGGGTACTGTCATTTCCCAGGAAAACGGTTTAGGAAAAATTTATTGGTTTCTCTAGGCACCCTCCGGGCTCACCTCCGTTCGCTGGGCCCCGCTGCCCCTTACCTTCATTCCTTCTTCCTTCCCGCTTTCAATCAGCTCATCTATTCTTTTCCTCTCTTCAGACTGGGTGGAGAGGGAAGAAAAGCAAGAAGCACTTGAGCATTCTCTCCTGGGCCATTCAGGGCAGCCTGGTGGCCTAGGCCACCCCCAGGGCGACTCCCATTTGGCCTTGACGACATGGGTCCCCAAGGCCATCCAAGCTCCCACACCCCTGTCCTTCTCTCACTGCCCACCTGCTGTGGACAGTTTGGCACCTGGGGGTCAAACGGACCAGGAGGGTCACAGTGGTGGCCCAAGGGCAGAGCTGGGTTGGGGGGACTATGTTCCATTTGGCACATGCGGTGTTTTTAAAAAGATCTAAATTGCCGACATCTACAAATCAGGACTCTGACTTCATGTAACCACGACAGAGGCAGATCAGAGGCCACCCCCTTCCGAAGGGGCACGCGCACACCACGCTCCTCCTGTCTGATGGCCCTGATGGGCACCTTGGTTGAAGAACTCTTGGGAGTTGGGTCTCTCCGGAAGCCACCGCCACATATGCGAAGAGGGCCTCCCACCCTAAGGAGGCGATACCACCCCGAACAGGGAAGTTAGACAGGAGTGGACGCTCCTGGTCTCGCCTGCCCCTCAGGGCCACCCCTTCTGCCACCGCCTCCCTCCCAGACCCAGATCCCACACTCCACCCACACACAGGGCTGCAGGCCGGCAGAGAGCCACCCAGGGACCCAGCAGAAGCCCAGGCCCGGCCCTGGCTGGCACATGTGGTGGCCACGCCCACAGCTGAGCACTGAGCGGCCCGCACAGAGGCCTCAGGACACGGCCGACGGCCCGCGTGCACTTTCCCAGTCCCTCTCCACACAGATGAACTGCACTCCCGCGGCATGACAGGCGTGACCGGGTCTCTGCAGGTTTGCGCTGTCACCCCTGGGTCCAGCCATCCCTGCTCTTCTGCCAGCCATGCTGTGGCCACCTCACTGGTCTCCTGGCTTCCACTCTATTCCCCGCACAGCAGCCACAGGGGTCTTTTTAAAATGTACATAGGGGCGCCTGGGTGGCTTAGTCGGTTAAGCGTCCGACTTTCACTTGGGTCATGATCTCGTGGTTCGTGGGTTCGAGCCCCGCGTCGGGCTCTGTGCTGACTGCCAGCTCAGAGCCTGGAGCCTGTTTCAGTCTGTGACTCCCTCTCTCTCTGACCCTCCCCTGCTCACGCTGTCTCTCTTTCTCTCTCTCCTAGAAATAAATAAAACATTAAAAAAATTGTTTAAAATGTACATAAAGGGGTGCCTGGGTCAGTCGGTGGAGCATCCAACTTCGGCTCAGGTCATGATCTCATGGTTTGTGGGGTCAAGTCCCAACTTGGGCTCCACGCTGACAGTGTGGAGCCTGCTTGAATTCTGTCTACCCGCCCCGCCCCTCCTCTTCTTGTGTTTTCTCTCTCTCTCAAAAACAAGCAAACACTTAAAGAAAATGTAAATAAGATCATATCTTTTCCCTGTTTCAAGTCTTGCAAGAAGTTTACTGCATAGTAATGTGCCAACATTGGTTCCTAAGTGTGACAAATGTACCAGGATAGTATATGGGGGTAATGACAGGGGAAGCTGGATAAAGGGGGCAATGGGAATACTCTGTACTATCTTTGCCACTCCTCTGTAAATCTAAAACTATTCCAAAATAAAAGGTTTGTTTAAAGAGAAGCAAAAGCTTTTCCGTACCTTCCCACTGTGAGTCTCTGCAGGACCCCGGCCCCGCCTCTGCAGCCTCATCTGCAGGCTTCACCCCTGCTCCCACATTCTGGTCACACTGGCTGACTCCCTTATAGGACCAGGCTCGTTCCTGCCCCAGGGCCTTTGCACTTGGGATTGCCCCTGCCTAGAATACCCTTTCCCTAATCCACTCGCCTGGCTCCTGTCCTCTCTTCCTTCCAAGCTCTGCTCTAAAGGCGCCTCCTCAGAGAAACTTCCTTGACTGCTGCAGCTAAGGTAGCCTAAAGTGTCACCATGCCTTCAAACCACTGTCTTATTAATGTTAAAAGACGATCTGAAATTCTCTCGTTCTATGGCTGTCTTAACTGCTAATCGCTGGAGTACAAGCTCCCTGAGTGCAGGGGCCTGATCTGCTCTCCCATGGAATCTCCTGGCCTAGAACTGGGCCTGGCACGTAGTAAGCCCTTGAAGCAACAGCAGCAATCACACACACGCGCGCGCACACACAACCACCCTGCTAAATAACTAATTATGGGCGTGCAGAGACCAGCGAGAAGTACAGGAAGCTCTGAGTGGTCGTGAGCCAGGCACCCGCGAACCTTCCCGCCAGGACCGCGTGTGCCGGGAGGAGCGGAGCTGGGGACAGCGGGGACCGGGCTGCATGGCCTGAACACGGAGCCTCCGAGTCTTTTGCTCTGCAGCCTCAGTGCTTAGGGGCCTGCGTCAACCAGCCCCAGGCTTCCAAAGGAGAATCCAGGCAGCAGCGTACGGGCGTGGAGCGCGGCTAGAGGCAGACCGAGTGGGACGCGAGCAAGGCCTGAAGGAGGTCCAGCTGCTCTGCGCACCAGGCCTGGGCTGGGCCGGGATGGAGAGGCCAGCGTACGGCCCCGGCCCCAGTGCCGCCCGTCACCCCTCCCTCCAGCAGGCCAACCAGCCAAGGGGTCCCCGCAGCAAAGCATCAGGGCTTCTCCCCCAGGCGCCGTGCCCACCCTCTCGCCCTGGACCCGGCCCTGGCCCTGCCTGCTGGGTCTTCAAATTCAGTCAAGTGTCTGCAAGGCTTTTCATTTTAGTCCCTCTCCTGCCTCACCCCCACCCCTCTCTCAGGCCCCACAGATCTGCGCCCTGGTTTCCGTGGCCCGGGAGAGCAGGCAGGTGAGGGAGGTCCAGCCGCCCCGGCCTTGATCTTGACCTGTACAGCCAGGAGGGAGGCTGCAGCACCCCAGCCAGCAGCCGCCTCGCTCCGGCTAGCAGTCGCCTCACCCCGGCCACAGCCGCCTCGCCGCCTGGCCCAGAGCCAGCACAACAGTGAGAGCACAGCGTGGCTCTCCCGTGCAACTGGCCCTCTGTCCGGTGACAGAGCGTCACTGTGCTGCGGACCAAGCTGGGGGAGGAAGGATCGGCTCCCCTCTGCTCATCTGCTGCAAGACTGAGCAGGCCTGCATCACCTCCTGCGAGGCCTTCCCTCCTCCAGCCAGAAAGCCCTTCTTTTTGTTCTTTATTAAAAAGGCAACCTCCACTGCGCCCCACTGCAGCCACGGCAGCCCGACCTCGGCTGGGAGGCCGCCTCGCCCTCCGCAGCACTGTCTCCAAGAGTGACCCGGCACGGCCTCCCCCTGTAGGCAGACAGCTCCCAACAGCCTGCTGTTGGCTGAAAGCCGCCACCTTTCTGAGGAAAGAAAGCCAAAGCTTCTGAGGGGAAAAATGGACCCCTTTTCTCGTTAGTTTCAAACGAAACCTCGTCAATTCAAATAAGCAGAGGAAGTGAACGCTAAATCACCACATCTACGTAAGAAATGCTGAAGGGGTCTGGGTTCAGGCCGAAATGCTAACACCTCATGGCGGCCAGGCCAGCCTGACACCGCTCCTCCACCCTGAGGTGGCTCTGAGGGTGTGGGGACCCGGGGGGCTGGCCAGGGGCCGTGGGAGGGCGGCAGGCTGCGAGCCCAGACCCCGCCCTGGGTTTCCGTAACAGAAAAGCAATAACCACGCGTCACTGTGTCAAGTACAGCTCAGCACTCCGCGAACACAGGGCGGGGCCTGCTCCGCGCGGCCGGCCTTCCCGCCACTGTTCCGGTGGTCCCGGGACCACAGCCGGGAGGGAAGGAGAGAAGGGGCCTCGGAAATGACAACGATGGGGAGGCCGTGGTGACGATAAGAAGTGAGCTAGTGCTTAACTGGGGGCCAGGCATGGTTCCAAGTGTGCTCTGTACACGGATTCATCTAATCCTCCCAACACCCCCACAGATGCTACCTTATTATCCCATTTTAGAAACAGGGCAACCGAGGCTCAGAGCAGTTAAGTACCTGGCCCTTGGGCATACAACCAGTAAGTGGCCTCCAAGCCACTGCTCTTTACCATCTTGAGACACGACATGGGAACCGGTGGACGGACAGACAGACGAGCCTCCGAAAGCACGCACAGCCTTCTCCGAGGTTCCACGCTCTGACTGTCCCACCAACAAGTCCCGGAAAAGACGCCTTTGTGGGAACACAGGACTTTCCACACTACGTGCTACCAGTTACAAGGCTCCGTCACAGACGCATCTTAACCAAGCCTCACAGCGCCCCCAAACATTAGGATGAGCCCCACGAGACCAAGGAGAGTGCCAAGGCCGCAGAAGCAGAGCTGCCCCAGGATGACGGAGAGAAAGCTCAAGTCCTGCCCTCCACGCGCTGCCCGCGGAGCCGCCCTGCCCCTCCAGGAGCCACCGTGAAAGCCACACGACTCTACCTGCAGCTCGGCTTTGCTCTTCCTGGAGCTCCTGCGCACGGGGTAGAAATCCGTGAGTTTGCGATTCTGCTGTGTTTTCCCTTGAGCTCTTGGGTGGGAAGGGAAGAGGAGAAAACCAAGTGTTAGCACTGAAGCCACTCTTAGGAGGCACCCGGTCCCTCGGGAGGTGGCTCCTCAGAAATGAGGTCACTTAGGGGCGCCTGGGTGGCTTAGTCGGTTAAGCGTCCGACTTTCACTTAGGTCATGATCTCGCGGTTCGTGGGTTCGAGCCCCGCATCGGGCTCTGTGCTGACTGCCAGCTCAGAGCCTGGAGCCTGTTTCAGATTCTGTGCCTCCCTCTCTCTCTGACCCTCCCCTGCTCACGCTGTTTCTCTCTCCTAGAAATAAATAAAACATAAAAAAAAAAAAAAAAAAGAAATGAGGTCACTTAAACGCCTTTGTCCACTGGGGCCCACATAGGCTCATGTGCCCAAGGGGACTTCCCAGGGTCAAAGACAGGCTGCCTACTCTCCATGTGCGAGGGGGGAAGAGGTATGGACTCATACCAGACTGAGAGGCAGACAGTGACATCACTGGTAGTCACTCAGGGGGACCGAGCCTTGATAAGAGCCAGGCCGAGCGGGGACACTGCGCCCCCCGCCCCCTCAGCTAGCACCTGAGCAGGGGGTCCGCAGGGGTCACAGCCAAACTGCCCTGCATTAGTTAGGGGAAGGGCTCCGGGGGGCACTCACTTCTTCCGCGGGGCCTGTTTGCCCTTGACGGGCTTTTTCAGGGCCTGCTTGGCGATGGCCGCAATGGGAGGGTCACAAGACGAGGTCGGAGTTTTTGGAGGTTCTGCTGCTTCGGATTTTTGGTTTGGAAAAGGTGCCAGGGGACCTCTCCCGGCGTCTTTGATCTTCTGTTCCTCGGACTTCATGGCGCTTCGGATTGCGTTCCCACCGTTCCTTTTCTCTGCAGGCAGAGGGTGGAGAGAGAGAGAACTTTAGTCTGGACTCTCTGTCTCTCCATTTCCAGACCATCAACTGCATTCTAACAGTTGATTCTAACAGGCTTTCATTTTTTACTTTTTTGGTGTCTTTTAAGTTTTTTTTGAATGTTTATTTATTTTGAGAGAGAGAGACAGAGAGACAGAGAGAGAGACAGTTGTCAGCACACATCCTGATGCAGGGCTTGAACCCATGAGCTGTGAGATCATGCCCTGACCTAAAGCCAGATGCTCAACCGACTGAGCCACCCAGACGCCCCTAAGACACGCTTTTAGAGGAAAGAGGGTCCTGGGTGTGCCAGGCAGCACTGCCCTTGGCCTGTTAATGGCTTTCTTGGGAGAAGCATGGGGCCTTACTTTTGTACCCAGGCATCAGTCAGGGCTTCCGGTCTGCATCTTTCTTATTTTTTTCCCAGCTTTATTAAGGTAGAGCTGACAAAAATCACAAGATACTGACTGCGTACTTCATGAGGATTTGATACACATTGTGGAAGCATCCATCCCATCTAACCATGAACGCCTCTGGTCTCCTGCATCGTGGCGGGGAGAGGCCTTGCAGGACCGCCACAGACGGCAAGAGCAGCGTAAGTGCTCGGCCCGTAGCTTTCGGGAACTGGGCTGCACACCCTGGAGAAAGAGCTAAATTCCTAACGAGTGGGCCAGCATTGATGGACAGGAATAAGGTCATAAAGAAGGACTTCTTCCCTAGCAAAGACCTCCTCCCCAAGCCTAGAGTGCTTCATTTCAGACTCTTTAAAAAAAAACAACAAGGAAAAGAAAGTTTTGAGGTGCCTGGGTGTCTCAGTGGGTTAAGTGTCTGATGTTGATTTCAGCTCAGGTCATGATCTTGAGGTTCATGAGTTTGAGGCCTTCATCCGGGCTCTGTGCTGACAGTGTGGGGCCCGTTTGGTATTTTCTCTCTCCCTCTCCACCTCTCTCCCACTCACGTTCTCTCTCTCTCTCCTCTCTCAAAATAAATAAACTTAAAAACAGAAGTTTCCTCTTCTAACGGGGTCAAGGCTCTATGCTCACAGTGCTTCTCAGTATGGTGACCCAATCACGTTAAGGGACGTCAAAAATGATTTCTTACGAAAAATAGTTGTGAAACACAGTGTGGGTGAACGATCTTTTTAAAAAAATGATTTACTTTAAAAAAATAAGTAAATAATACATAGCTGGTAGGAATGTAAAATGGCGCAGTCACTTTAGAAAAGAGTCTGGCAGCCGTTCAAAGAGTTCAACATGGAGTTACCATATGACCCGGCAATTCCACGCCTAGGCGGCTATTAGGAGAATTAAAAACATATGTCCACACAAAGACCTGTATGGGAAAGTTTGTGGCAGCATTATTCACAATAGCCAAAAAGCGGAAACCACCCAAATGGCCATCAGCTGATGGAGGGATAAGTGAAATGGGATCTCTCCACACCATGGACTATTATTCAGCCACAGAAAGGAAGGAGGCCCGAGCACCTGCTACAACACGGATGGCCCTTGACAACATGGTGCTGGGTCAGAGAAGCCAGGCGTGAAAGGGCACATGTTATGTATGGATCCACTCACATGGTACGTCCAATACAGCAAATCCACAGAGACAGAAAGTAAATTAGCAGTGGCCAGGCCTGGGGGGGTGGGGGGGGGTGATGGGGCGGCAGGGGAATGGGGAATGACCGCTAATGGACACGAGGTTTCTTCTATGGGGTGAGGAAATGTTCTGGTATTAGACAGCTTGGTGATGGTTGCACCTGTGGGTCAACAGACCAAAACCCACTGAACTGTACACTTGAAAACGGTGAACGCTCTGACACGTGAACTGTATCTCAACCAGCTGAAGAGAAAAATAAATACATCAAAGTCCATCCAGACCATTCTCACTCCCTTACATGCCTTAAGTGGAACCGGAGGGAGTTAAGTCCAGGACATTACACATAAACCCGAGGAGCGTGTGATGCCTGTGAACGTCCGCTATCACATCAGTCTGCATCAAGGCAGAAAAAAGGTTGAGAATCAAGGACAAAAAGCCTCGCCCCTGGGCTCTCTCCCAAAGTATATCTGGCCCCAAATTCTAATCGTTGCCATGTAGTGACACTACAGGCCAAATAAGCTAGCTCGTGCGCCGTGTCACCATTTAGGATGATTTACATCCCACCCCATCCCAGAAGGGATGGGAGACTGGCTGCCCACACTGAGAGAGGGCCCTTTCCCCAGTCCCTGCCTGCTAGGTGCTATCCTAAGTGCTGGCCATCCAGGGAGAGGCAGGGGAACCGGCTGCCAATGTGGAGTACTGTACAAAGCCTTTTGCATCCATGCTTTAGCCAATCTTCAGAATAGCCTTGTGAGGTAGGAACCCTCCCTCCCACTTCAGAGACAGAAGAACTGAGGCTCAGAAAATAGGAGTAACCTGCTCAAACCTCGCATATGTGGTAGAGCTAGGATTTGAACCCAAGCCATTGGAAGACTGACTGAAAAAGAGTTATCACCCACTGCACTGGGGAGGGGAATTGGGCAGAGGGCTGGCTCCTGCCCCTAGTTCTGGGTGTCCCAACCCCCGCTTCTCAGATCTGGTCCCAGACATTGGCCTAAACATCACTTATGGCGCTTTCAGTAAAGGGATTACAAGGCTTCCTTGTATTAAGCTGCTGCTAGTCAGAGTTCTAGATCTTCAAGGCAAGTTTTAATCAGAAGGTAGCGTGGTGAACTGGGGAAAGCTCATATTCCCCGCTGCAGCTCTAAAAGGAAATATTTGGAATAGACCAAGATTTCCATAAGGTTTCAGCTGCTTTTGTAGGCCATACAGGATTTTCAGCAACCATATATTTCTTGTTTAGTATTTTACCTCTAAATTTCATCAGAGAGTATGCTGCTTCAGAGAGCTGCACCGAACACTTGAGTAGAAAGAAACTCAGAAATGAGGTCAAGGCCAGCTCAAAAGAGGGAAGGAAGTCGGTTCCCGACGTTTACACAACACAGTCAGGACTGCAGCCACATGGTCTGTACAACTCAGACTCGGAATTTCTGTACTTTGGGCTCATGTGAGGCTCTTTAACTACAGACCAGGTATGTTATTCTTGCAACTTGGCAACACAATCAAGCTTGAAGGCCTTGCTAAACTCTTGTGAAAGCAGGGAAAACCGGTTAGACCGACAGGGTCCACACCCTAGGACAGGACAGCCCCCCCCCCCCCCCCCCCCCCCCCCCCCCCCCCCCCGTGCCTGTTTCTTAGCAGCAAGACAGAACATGGATCCAACCTTGTGAACTTAGGCTTGAAAAGGCTGGGTAAACATTTAGTATATATGCATAATTAAGGGCAAAGAAGGGCTTTCTGCAACCCAACCAGCTGCGGTCAGAACAGGGCCACATCAGAACCTTACCTTCTCGTTTCCTGTAGAGGCCGGCTAATGGCTTCCCCTGGCATTTGACTTCGTGATGTGCAACTGAGTTCTCTTCCTGAAGGGGGGAACGCATTCCAGAGCATTTGTTGGGGCTCATGTAGGAATAGATCTTTGATTGCCCGGTAAATACATTCTCCTAAAACGACAAATGCATGCCCTGAAAGAGGCTTGAAGAAGATCCCGTGGCAAATGGCGGAGAAGAGCAATCAGAATACGAAAACCAGAAACAGACACCATCTCTCAAAAGCCGAGCCAGCCCAGGGTTGCCAGGCCCAGGAGATCAGGGCGAGGTTTAGGATCTCCCAGGTCCAAGTTAGACATTTCCTGAACTCAGGTGGTCTGATTCTGGTTGCTCAGGGCACATCTGGCCAGCAGGAAGCCAGCTGTGTACCAAGGTGTCCAGAAGCAGACAACCTACCAGTAGCAGAGAGGTCAGAATGACCCAGACTAAACAACTGCGGAATCTGAAGGGCTGACCTCCATGCAGGAGCTGACACAGGCCTCGAGGAATCTGATTAACTACTTCTTGGTCCTTAAGTCAGCGGATAGGACTTCTCACTGCCTGAGCCTTCTGTGTGCCCAAGCCTGGCCCCTTTCAAATCAATGCAGCCCAGCAGCCTCCCAGGACTGCGGGACTGGACTGCAGTGGTAATTGAGGGGTGAGGTGGGGAGTGGAGAGCTTAATAAAACCAGAGCCTATGGCCAGCTCATTTAGGGCGGTCACTCTATTACAGACGGCGTCTTGGCATCAATAGTAGGAGGGTGAGCCGGCGGGTGGGGCGGTATAGGTCACTGATGGCGTCTCTGGGCGTGGGGCCTCTCCTCTGAGTAAGCACGGAATGAGGGAGGACTTCCCCAGAACACTGCTGGGGCCTTTCTGCCTGGTGACCCTTTAAACACCAAGTCGGTGAGACCCGTGACCTCTCTGAGGGCCCCGGGCAGGCCCCGTACACCCTGGGAAGGCAGCCACCGCCGGGCGAGCTGGGTCTCGGGGTGCGGAAATCCCATAAAGACACAAACTTTTCCGAGGTCATATATTGCCAGGGTCATGGCGGAGCCAGGGTGGACGCCACTCCCAGGCAGGCAGCAGAAAAGGAAGCCGCCGGAGCCGGGCGCCCCGCCCGCAGGGCCCAGGGCCGCGGGCGGGAAGGGGAGGAGGGGTCCCGGGGCGCGCGCACGTGCTCGCGGCGCGGGGCCGGCGGGGGCGGCCGGCCGCGCGGCCCCTCGGGGCGCGCTGAGTGAGTGCGGGGAGGGTGCCTGCTTACCCCGTTGGTGCGGGGCCTCCCCGGGCCCCTCCGCTCCACCATCTCCGGGCCCGGGGCCGTCGCTGCCACCGCCGCCGCCGCCGCCGCCGCCTCCACCGCGCGGGGCTTGGACATCTTCCTGCCTGGAGAGGGGGACCCGGGGGAAGCGGGGGAGGGGGCGCTCAGGGCGCGGCGGGGCGGGGAGCGGGGCCGCCCGGGCCGGGCGCCGCGGCGGCGCCTCCCGCCGCAGCCATGTTCCGAGGGCCTGGCGGTGGTGGGCCGCCCGCGCCGCCGGGAGCCAGGGGCCGGCCGGCCGGGCCGGGCCGGGGCCCCCGTCGCCCTCCCGCCGCCCGGCCCGGCCGGGCCCCGCGCACCGCCCGCCCCCCGCGCGGCCGGGCCCGCCACACCCACCTGCAGCCCGGCCAGGCCCATGGCGGCGCGCCCCGCGCCCTCGCCGCCGCGGCCCGGCCACCACCGCTGCCGCTGCCGCTGCTGCTGCTGCTGCCGCCGCCACCAGCGCCGCCGCGGCGCCCCGGGGAAGGGCCGGCGGCGCCCCACGGCGCCCCCTTCCCCCATGGCCTGCGAGGCAGGGCCCGGCACCCGCGCGCCGCGGCAGCCCCGGCCGGCCCGGGACCGAGGACGCAGGGAGGGAGGGCGCTGGCGGCGCGTCCTCCGCGGCCCGCCCGCTCGCCGCCGCCGCCGCCGCCCACCGTCCGGCTCCCGGCCCGGGGAGGGGGGCTGGCAGGGGCGGCGCTGCGAGGCTCCTCGGGAGGGAGGGGGGCTGGGCGGGCCGCGCGGCCGCGACGAATCCCGACTCGGGCGCGCCCCCTCTCGCGCGTCCTCAGCCACTCCGGGAGGAAGGGGTGGGAAACAAGATAACGACAGCCCGGGCTCTCGCCGGCCGGGCTCCTTCTCGGGCTGGCTCCGCGGATATTTTGGGAGACCCGTCGGTGCCAGGCGCAGCCAGCAGCGGGGAGCGCGACAGACGGGAGTCTTCCTGCGTGCCCGAGCCGGGGCTCCCTGAGCATTATATGGGCATTTCATTCTCCACGCAAGTCCCCGCGGGGGCGGGGAGTGGAGAGAGGGAGGCAGGTCCTGTGTCAAAGCCCTTACAGAGGCTCCGGGGAGGTGCAGGGGCTTGCCTTAGGCCACAGAACTAAAAAGCCATGGGATCAAGTGTCAAACCCAGGCGTCTGCACTAGATCCGTTCAGACCCTGGGGAAATAGAGTCAGTGGTTATTACGGTAAGTTGGTGGGGTGCTTCCCGTGCCCACAAGATCTCATCCAAACCTCACAACAGGCCTGTGAAGGTACACACAGGTATTACGTCCTTTCCACAGATGGAGAAACTGAGGCTCAGAAGTGAGGAGCTTTGGCCAAATTCTCAGCACTAGAAATGGATTTCCAAGGGCCCACTGACCCCGGGGGCTGAACTCCCAGACACAGATGAGGAAATTCAAGATGGGAGGGACAGAAGCCTTTGGCAAGTCACCGGTTCTCCTGGCCACCCATTGAGAAAATATCCTAAGGAGGCGAGGGGGGGGGGCACCAGACACTCAGGTGTCTTGTGTTGGCACAGCTCATGGCCCTGCACCACTGTGCTGAAGCCATTAGGGCCCACAGCCAAGAGTCACTGCACTGTATTTGTGCAAAGTCATAGATGCAAACAAGACACCTCGGGACATCTAGCTCCTACTGCTTGGGTCATGGCCCCAGGAGGCAAGGATTGGGTTTCTCTCCCCGCATCTGCCCCAGAGGTGCTTTGTGACTGTGCCCACAAAGTCACTTCCCTGGACTAGGCCTCAGCGTCCTCATCAATCAAAACCAAGAATCTTGAATTCCTGAACGCACCCAGGGCACCTTTCAACGTCTACAGATAAACAAATGGCTGTCGCTTTAAGTAGCTGCCTCCCCTTAGAAGGGATAAGACTAAGTAGGATTAAGTGGCAGGAACAGGCTCAGGACAATGTCTCCCAAATCAGCTCATGCTTTAGCATCCTGGGCAGGGCTGGAGAGCACCCTCCTCCCCACCAGACCCCAGTCTCCACCCAACCCTAACGCCAGTCGGCTAGGGTCCTCTGACCACTGACCACGTGAATACCCAAGACACTACGCAGAGAGTGAAAGGGGATTCTAGAATAACACTCTGACACCAAGGCCCAGCCGTTTGAAACAGTGTGTGCTACATCTCCAGGGCGGAGGTTTGCAGTTTGTCTTTAAACTATCACGGGAATGGCGGTTTGCGAACAGGAAGCAGCCACTCGGGTTATCCTGTCTGCATCTGTTTCAACGGTCACCCCACCCCCACCCTCAACTACACACACATGCTCATGGCTGCAGCGTTCTCCATTTCAGCCCTCAAATGCAGGGGTACATACATTAAGGTCCAAGTCTAGCACCCATTTCTCAACACTGCAGCTCTGGTATTGTATTGTATCTAGAAGATATAATACAAACTATTCAAGGTAAGCTTCAGAACTGTCTTTCTCTGTACATGAGGTGTTCAGGTGTGTGTAAAAATATATATTGTTGCCCAGGATTGCACAGAAATAGAATTCAACAGGAATGATACCATTAGCTAACTAACATTTATTCAATGTTTACTATGTGTTAGGCCCTATAATAATGCATTATTTAATTTAAACTTTATAACCTTTAACCCTTTATGAGAGGGTACTATTCCTATTTCACAGAAGTAGAAATCGAAGCTCAGGGAAGATAAATCATTTGACTAAGGATTCTATGACTGAAGTGGTAATAGATCTGAGAGCAGAACCCAGAGCTACAATATGGGGGTACTTTATCAGAAAGAATGTATATTGCTGGGGTGCCTGGGTGGTTCAGTCAGTTAAGCGTCTGACTCTTGATTTCAGCTCAGGTCATGATCTTAAGGGCTCTGTGCTTATGGTCCAGAGCCTGCTTAGGATTCTCTCTCTCCCTCTCTTTCTGCCCCTATCCTGCTCACATGCTCGCTCTCTTCTCTCTCTCTCTCAAAATAAATAAACATTAAAAAAAAAAAAAGAATGCATATCGCGTCCCTTGAACTCAGACACAAAAACAGCAATCCATTCACTCCACAAACATTTATTGAATACCCACTTTGTATCAGGCCCTTGCTAAGGACACAACAGTAAAGGTAGAGGCAGATGGGGCAAATTGAGGCCAGAGGGGTAGGCAAGACCCTACAGGCCATAGTGAGGATTGTGGATTTGATCCTAAGAGCAGTGGGGGAGGAAAGAGGAGTGAAGTTCACATGATAAAAATCTGTGTTCTTGGGGACCACTCTAGTTGCTGGGGGGATAATAAATTGGAAATGGTAAAAGTAGAAAGAGGGAGACCAAATAGAAGGCCATCTGGCTGTGGCAGCAGAAATGGAGAAAAGCAGATGGACTGATCCTTCTCAAACTAATATACTGAGGGTGGAAAATATCTACATGATTGTAAAACTTCAGAACCAGAGAGGAAATGCCTGGTACCTGAACATTTCGTTCAAGTGACCCAGCAAGGTTCTCAAAGTGAACTACAAGTTTGCAACACAGAGTTTTCTAGAAGAAAAAGATTGACCCTTCATTTGAAGTACTATAAATGATTTGATATTTACACTACCAAGTGCCCAATTTAGTAATCTACAAGAGAAATAAAGCCTAGGAAATAAGCAACTAATGGGACCCCTGGGTGGCTCAGTAGGTTAAGCATCAGACCCCAGCTCAGGTCGTGAGTTCGAGCCCCGCATGGGGGTCTGTGCTGACAGCTCAGAGCCTGGAGCCTACTTCAGATTCTGTGTCTCCCTCTCTCTCTGCCCCTCCCCGACTCATGCTGTTTCTGTCTCTCTCTCAAAAATAAACAAACATTAAAAAAAAAAAAAAAAGAGTAACTACTAATTTGGGGGTCAAGTGAAAAAGTGTGAATCTCTAACCAATAAATTACAAAGGTAATTCATAAGCCTGCTGTGGTAGGAGCTGGGAACACTTGCGTTCACGTTGGCTAAGGGAGGTAGAGTGCAACATGCAAAGGCACAGACTGGCCAGCGTCTAGACTCTGACTGTGGACTTCGGCTTCTACCTCTGAAAAACGGAAATAACAACTTGTTATTGTTGCCTGGCCCTTACCGGTAATTATTATCTGCCCCTATTAAGTTCTTAAATACTTCAATGGCAAAGTGCTTAGTTTTGTTTTCCCCATAGATTAATTAAAGCAAGCCATGTTGTTATTTTGTTTTTTAAAAAAGCACTACTGTTGAAGCAGTTAGCTTAAATGATTTTTGCTCTAATGGGCAAAACGAACCAGGGAAGCAGAGATTTATTAAGATTTGTCAGATACTATTAAATATATTTTTAGATGCTTAACACTTTTCCAAGGAAAAAAGATTCCTCTTGGCCTTCTCTGTGGATTGGGTTACAAAGCTCTTGTAAGAACTTGAAATTCAGTTTGTCTCCTTTCTGAATCAGAATCTGGTTTGTCCCAAAAGACCCTAAGCAGACGCTGGGATAATAAAAGATGCAGCTGAGTGCAGGGCCTGAAAACAAAGGTGCCCAATAAATATTTGCCAAATGAATCGTTATTTTATTCATTTTTACTGCCAAAGGGAGCACAGTGCACGAAGGCAAATTCCTACTAACATGTAGTCCCATGGAATTTTGAGAAAAATGTCAAACCGCAACTTATTTTTCTAAAATAATAATTCCACTCAACCTTCATGCTCCAAGTTTTTGCATTGAAGGAGACACAGAGGCTGGAAATGACTGGCGGTAAGCAATCACTTTGCCGCATAACGTGGGACTTAGTGCCCTGACAGCGAACTAAGTCGGCAAAGAAGGACTTAAGGCTGGGACATCGCCTCCCGCGATGGACAATCCCACCCAAGCCGTCTCCCGAGGGCATGAGTCCTGACCAGCCTCAGGACGAAGGGCTGCCCGGGATGGTGCGGTGAGAGTCAGCTCACCCCAAAGTGGGCCGGCGGGGCCCAGTCCTCGCCCCTGCAGCGCAGAGCTGACTCAGGGCGTGGGGAGGGAAGGCGCTGCTGCGGTGTCCACTCCGATGCGCTCCCCACCATGGAGGGTACCCATCTGCGCCCTGGCCTGGAAGGCACCTCCGTTTCCAGCAAAAGAGAGACCCGAAGCGGGCAAAACCTCGCCCTCCCCCTTCCTCATATCAGTAACAACCATCCCTTGGAGGTGCCCTGTGCTTTAGTTTCCAAAGAGCTTTGACATATGGATCTGTTGTCCCTGGAGAAGCCGGCCAGCGGGTGCCCGTACTCTAGAAAGGGGAAACCTGGGCATGGCAGTGGGAGGGACTTCTGGAGGCTTGGGGGGGTTGGTTAGAGAAGGTTCCGCAGCACCCCCCCGCGCCGCCGGGTCTCCGCGCTGGGTCCGAGCAGCCCTCGGCAGGGCGCTTCCCCGCTGCCGCGCCGGCCGCCCTGGTCCCCCACTCGCAACATGACCCTCCCCACCCCGAGCCGTCCCGGCGCTGGCCACCCGGGCAAATACCTCTAGCCATGGCCCGGCTCTGTCACCGCCTGGGATCTCCCGGGAAACGCAGCTTTCGAAAAAAGTTGCAACAACTGTAGCCAACTGCTCCGCGGAGCTACGGCTGCTGCCCTGATTGGTGCCGCCGCCCGCCTCTCCCGAGGCTGCGCACCGTGATAGGCGAACGCCGGAGGGAAAGCCCGCCCTCCTTCCCGCCTCCCTGGCGGGGCGGGGCGAGCGGCCTCACT